GTCACTGCAGGGTCAGTAATGACTGAGCGCAGACAAAAAAAAAAGGGTACTCACTCAATATCTGGTATCTCCAAGTAGGGCTTGAATTTTCTTGTTTGAAATTGAGATGACACTACAGAGTAGGGTTTTTTCGAAGGGAAAAAATGAGTTGGATGCTCAGGCGTGCTCATGTTCTATCAGTCAGTAAATTCTTGAAACTGCGTCTTTTCCTGGACTTGCACAAGATCCCAGGCACATTTGATTTAAGGTGATGGTGAGAAGTGTGACATGACTGCCCCCACACTTTCCAAATCACCCATCTCCCCTTTAAATATAGATTGATCCACAACCCTAAATACTGTTCTGTGTTATATGAGGCAAATGTTTAACTTGGTTAGAAGGCAACTTAGTTGCTATGACTTGTTTCTATTCCTAATATCTGGTACTGTGAGGAAATAAGAACTAGTTGGTTAAGGCATAGTTGAACAACAGCATGGTTTGTAGAGATGCTTTTGACATTAAACATTCTGATGAATACATAACTACAGTTAGAAAAATATACACGAGAACTGGATTTCAGATATGTAATTTTTTAATTAATCTTTGCGCGGGGGGGGCAACCAACAGATCTTTGTAGCTTAGGATTGTCTGTGATTATCTACTTTGCAGAACTTCAATTTGTTAAAAAATAATGATCAGAGACAAGATACAATATAGTGCCATGGATGGAAACTGAAACTAAAGAAACAATGTTCCTCTCAGCATATCCACAGATTGGTAACCAATACAACATGAGATACCTTTTTACTCAAAACTCTGCTGCTGAGTTTTCTCCAAATACTGGGTTTTTGAAGAGAAGGAGTGGAAAATGTTTTGGCTTCTGGCTTGCTAGATATGTGTCCAAAATCCTTGGTGATCTGTTACAAATCACCCTGAATCTTATTTCCAAAGCCAGGATTTTTTTTAATGACATGAGCAATGTTACAGTGAACACGACAGCAGTACTACTATAATGCTTATAGCAAAAGTTAAGCCTCTGTAAGAATGACTCTATAAAATTTGGATTGCGATTGCTACAAATAATATAATTGTGATTATATAGAGGGATGAAATGCAGTACAATTATTTGTGATGGCTTATAATTTATATGTTATTGGAGAAGTAGGATTTCAGAGTAGAACACAGAAATATTGATTATGCTGTTAAGATAGAAAGACTGTCAATTAGGTTTTTCTGGGCTACAGAAATATCATTTCAGATGTGAAAGAAACTTGAACCACAATGTCTTGTTAACAGACCTAAAATGCATCAATATATTAGTAATTAACAGCATTTTTTTAAAAAAACTAATGTCTGGACTGCAAAAAGAAAGTTGTAGCATGATGTTTCATATGCTGGCTCAGAGGATAAACAGGCTGATTACCTTCAACCACTTTGGACAATAGTCTCCATAAACCCTGGCTGGATGGGACTTGTAGTCTCTTGACATCTGGAGAACACCAGGTCACAAGTCATAACAGAATGAGAGAAGGAATCCAGAACCTATTTATCAGAAATTATTCCAGGACTTGGAAATGGTACACCTGGGCAGCAATATTTCCTAAACTTGGAAACATTCAGCCTCAGTTGAATTTAAAATACTGATGACAGCAAAAAGAAATTGCAGACAATGCCCATGTTAAATATAAAGCCAAGAGCTGCTCCATAAAGAGGCTATGGTGAAAGTCGTACATATTGAAACTTCTGCCCATGAATATATCCATTGAAAGAGCTGATACTCTTGGGATAACAACCAGCCACTCCTACCAAAAGGGTGTGGATGATTTAATGATGCAAGATATTAGCTTAGGCCCTATGTTCAATGACTTTGGTATGTTATTGGTTCATGCTTCTTAGAGGGCATCTTCATTGTTCTAACAACGTGATAAATGATGTTTGGAGCCGTAATGGTTGTTATTGAACATTTCTTTAGCTAGGTGTCTAGCAAAGGATGCAGCATAATAGGCAATTGATTGCTGCAGATCTTCTTAACCACTCAGATGGGCTGCTCACACAAACTCCACAAAATGGGGTAAAACATCTGTCACTGATGTCAGCTTTTGGAAGCATTTTTTTCCTGTAAAATCAGGAATCCATATGAATTGTTTGTCATATGTGGTTGGACAATGCAAGATAGGTTGTCCTGATACAGCCTAGTGGTAACGGCATCTGGTTCCTTTTCCATCCCTTTTGGGCAATACTTTTTCACATGATTGGAAAAGGATTGCTCCAAACTGATTCTGAGAAAGGGGAGAGGGGCAGGAATTTATGATGAACATACACCAGTCAGCTTGGCTCAGCTAAGCTTCATCACTTTGTTGATCCAGTCAACATACATAGCAATTCGGATGAAGGTGGCAGGCACGTCTTTGCGAGCACATACCCGCAATGGGGTGATCACACCTTGTAGCACCCAGCAGTCATGAGTCAGGCAGGCCAGAGGACCTCCAAAATCACCCTGCAGAGCAGAGACCAAAAGACAGGCTTGAATCAAAAGCAAGCTCTAGCTTAAGGAGCACAGCAACACTGCAAAGCACATGGGTTGGTTTTCATACCTCAGATGTTTGCTCAAATGGCTTTCCTGACCCACCTGCCTTGAAATTATTTATCTGCAGCTTCACTTTTCAGTTCATATCTTGGGAGACTATTTCCCACTGCTCATCTTTTTTTAAACCAGGAGGTTGCCAACTTCTTGGGTCATCTTGCAACCTCATAAGTGCCTATGCCCACCTCCATTTTTTAGATCAACTGAAATCTCACAAAATTGTCAAATAACCTGAGATCTTTTGCAAGAATATTGTAAGACTGTTAGTTTAGGTGATGTAGGAGATTAGCCATTTTTCAAAAATAAAAGTATTTTATCAAATTGTGGGCATCTTAGGCTGGGGTTATTCTGGTCCCTCTGGAAGGCTTGTCCTTTTTCTTTGCCATTCACTCTCCGGATGAGTCTGTTGGCCTCCCATTTGTCCATTTACTTCTCTCAGCCAACCACCTGATGGAGTTTTCCTGTTGCCAACCTTGATCTCAATGCAAGCCAAGCAACTCAGTTCGATACACACAAACCCACCTTCCTGCCCTGCTCACCTCGCAGGCCCCCACACCAACGTTCAGTGGTGCTGTACATAACTCATTCTCCTTCACACGGCCTCGAAGTGCCACATTGCAGTTCTGATTGCTGATGACCGGCAGCCTGGCCACGTTGAGGACATTGTCGTTCCCAGTTCCTGGGTACAAAGAAGAAGTGGAGCACTGCTGATGATATGCAGGTTATGGACCTTTCTGGTAGTGGCACCCTCTTTATGGTGTGCCATTCTGAGAGATTCTTTGGGTAATTTATTTGTGGTTAGTATTTTATGCTCTCACATCTTTAAGAAGTTTTATTTTAGACCAGAATCAGTATGTGCGAACTATAGTGTATACTTTTTATTCCTGTTTCTATTTGCCCTATTGAAAAATATTTGTGCTGCAGATTAAGTTATGATATTGTGTGATTTCTCATTTTATGTCACAAACTGCCCAGAGAACAATATTATTGGCCAAGCATGTATAAACACTCTAATACATAATCAATTCAGTGTTATTACCCAAATTAGGCAACCCATCCCAACAGTAAATCTTCATTTTAGCCTTCAAAATGCTAAATATCAAAGTACAGTGGGGCAAAAAATATTTAGTCAGCCACCAATTGTGCAAGTTCTCCCACTTAAA